ATAGGGGTTTTGGTGGCAGCTCTAAAGAAGGGGCAACCTACTGTGGTTCTTCTCTTTCTCTCCCACCCCCCCTCTCCTCTAGGCCTAGGAAAGGGGTTCGGGCAAACTCGGGACTACACGCTCTTCACAACTGGCCTCCTGGTGAGCTCCTTGCCGCACCCCCTCTCTCAGAGGGCCACGCAAACTTCCTTGTCCCGCAGCGCGGGCCCCATCCTCCCGCTCGCGAAAAAATGCTTTTCGGTGCAACCGGAGCAACAGCGAAGGATGCGCACAACCCCAAGTCCTCCCACACGCGAGGACCCCACCCACGACTGAGCAGTCTGGCCTCCTACCCCTTCACTATTCCTGTCGCTTCTAAAGCTGTGGTCCAGGGCCCTCTGCTCTGCCGCCCTCCTCCCGGTTGGGCCCCGGGTCCTCTCTCGCCTGCAGGACAGGGGAAAGCGGGAAGGGGAACCGCGACCGGGGGCAGGCCATTACCATCCGTCAGCCGCGGGCTGCCCGGCTCCCTGCTCCGCTCCGCGGCTCCCATGTCCAGCTCCCGGACGGGAGAGCGCCCTCCTCCAGCTCCTCCGCCTGCTCCTCCTCCTCCAGCACCTCCTCCGCCTCCTCCGCCTCCGCCTCCGCCTCCTCCCGCGCCGCCGCCTCCGCCGGCCGCCCGGACTGCCGGGCTGCTGCGGTCGTCACGGCCCGGCTCGATGCAGCCCGGTTCCTTGGCCCCACGCAGCGGCCCGCTCTCCAGCACCTCCCGGTACGTGATGGCCTCTTTCTTCTCCTTCACTTTCTGGTCAAAAGACTTGGAGACGAACGCTGTAAGTTCTTCCATCGCGGCCGCTGCCGGTCAGCCTCGCGCTCAAGCTCTCCCTGCCGAGCCCCGCTCTTTTTTTCCTCCTTCTTTTTTTACTGCTCCAACCCCCCCAATAATAACACATCAATGGGGCAGGGGGTGGGGGAGGAGAGGGAGGAGGAGGAAGAAGAAGAAAAAGAGGAGAAGAAAGAAGAGAAGTAGAAGGAGAAAAAGAAGTAAGAGGAGGAGGAGGAGGAGGAGGAGGAGGAGGACGAAGCGGAGGAGGGGAGAGGGGGGACAAGGGGGAGGAGGGAAGGGGCGGGGGCCGCCAGAGGGAAATGGGAACTGATGCTTCCCTGCCGGAGCGCGCGTGTTCAATGTTAAGATCTTTGACAATTCTTCCTGCGGAGAGTTCAGATCTGATAGCGACGCAGCTCTTGAAGTCTCACTATTTATACTTCCTAAAGGCGGCCCCTTGTTCTGAGTAAATTACCTCCCCTCGCAACTCTGAGTGAACCCCTTCGCGGGTAGCAGGAGCGCCACTACCTGGGGTGGGGAGGAGAGGGAGTGAGGAAGAGAGAGAGAGAGAGAGAGAGAGAGAGAGAGAG